AGGAGTTGGAGGTTGCTGTGAGCTGTGATGCCACGGCACTCTACCCAGGGGGACAGCTTGAGGCTCTGTCTCAAAAAAAAAAAAAAATCATTTCCTCCTGGCTAGGTGTCCATAGCACAGTGGTTACAGCATCGGCCACATACACTGAAGCTGGCAATTTCAAGCTCAGACTGGGCCTGCTAAATAACAGTGACAACTGCAACAAAAAAATAGCCAGGCATTGTGCTGGGCACCTGGAGTCCCAGCTACTTGGGAAGCTGAGGCAAGAGAATCTTGAGCCCAGGAGTTTGTGGATGTTGTGAGCTGTAATGGCACAGCAGTCTACCAAGGGTGGCACACTGAGACTCTGTCTCAAAAAAAAAAAAAAAATTCCACCTACTCAATAACATAGGGTGTTAACTAACACTTAGAAACATCTGAACATCCCACAGTACCTTCTGGTTTGCCAGCGAATGCTGGGAACAGGCATACACTTCCCAGCACGCTGAGGAAAGGGCTCTGTTTAAACTCAGTCCCCGATGCAGGTGCTGGACAGTGAGTGTGGCTGTCTGGATTAGAGCTGACACTGAAGATGCTGGAGAACCTATTAAAAAAATTGCCACTTGTGAGCACTAGATTCTTCAAGATCTCTAATGAAAATAGATAAATTCTGCCCTCATACCATACCCCCTTCTATTCATCACCAGCCAGGCACTTACTTTAGAGAACCTAAGTAGACCCCAGGGTCTCCTGAGGGCCCCGTGCATTTGTTTCCCTCCCCACCTGCACTGTCTGCAGTACACTATGGGGACTCACTCACATGTGTGATAAATTCTGGTGACGAACCTTCAGTCTAACACTGACAAACACTGACGGTGTTAAAAGGAGTACCATGGGCTTTTGAACCCCAAAAGGCCTATTTTCAAATCCCATCTGTCATTATTTTATTAACTACCCAACTTTGACAAGTTACTCAAACTCTTGAGCTTAATCTGTAAATGGACACAGAACCAATATAAGCACTGAATACGCAACCAGCAGCGTAATTCACTAAACAGGACTTCATTTACTGTCATGGCTCCTTTTCGTATAATTGAACATTTAGAAAAAACTCCCATCTGTTTTAAGCATCTCAAAGTCTCCCCTTTATTCTACCTTCAAGAGCCACTGATGATCCTGGAGACAGGATGGGTAAACTTCACAAATTTCAGTGCCTCAAGCAGTCAGGGTGGGGGTGGGTTGTCACTAAAATACTGATTCCTATGCCACCCCTTGATCTGCTGAGCCCAATGTTAGAGTATCTGTACATTTGCATTTTTAATGAGATTTCCTGGTAGTTTCTATTTCTCTGTATACTAAATGTAAGAACTCTTAGATGAGCAGTCTAATGAAACAGCATAAATGTCTATAAGACTAAAACTTTGCAGAAGCCCAGAAGTCAAACACCTCACCCGCAACAGTATTCCGGATCTCTGTATGGAGAGCCAAGAGGATGTCGCACACACTGTCCCCCATCAAACCAAGGCTGTGCAGCAGAACTTTCAAGTCCAGGTTGTCTAGGGTGCTCTCATCGCCTTCGCCTGAAATGTAGATTTCAAGTCCACGATTCCTCATAGCTCGGGATATTTCTCCATGAACAGGATCCATTGAGAGAAAAAGTCTAGAAAAACGGCAATTCAAAGACAAGAAATGCTTTAAGTCCCAGTGCAACAAATGGTATAGGTCAGCAACATCAGTGGGGACAGATCGCACTTGGCTCATCCACAGAGTTCACGCCCCCACGTGTGCTCCCATCACCTACATTGAACCTTCTACCCTAACAGGCATCAACACAGCAAAATCACTTCCCCTAAACCTACTGTCCTAAAAGACCACGGACTGTTTACACAGTATGACATTAGTGCTAGCCACGATCTTCAAAAACCTTGCTTCCAGGCTGAAGCAGGTAGATAACTTAAACTCATGAGTTCAAGACCAGCCTAAGCAAAAGTGAGGCCCCATCTCTACTAAAAAGAACAACTCAGGCAAGAGGATCGCTTGAACCCAAGAATTGGAAATTGCTGTGAGCTATGATGCCACAGCACTCTACCCAGAGTGACAGCTTGAAACTGTCTCAAAAAAAAGAAAAGAAAAATCCCTCTTCCACATATTCCCCAAATCAGACCATGCTAACTCATCATTCTAACTCATCTATGAGGAGAGCAAAGGAAGCAGTGCATTCTCCTGAATGGACCACAGTGCTACTATTTGGAATCTAGTCTAGAGATGCCTGACAAATGATAGAGCCTCAATAAATATTTGTTAACTGAGTGAACTTCAAGAATCAGTTTACCAACATAATATAAGGAGGTCCTACAGAATGTCTACCCTTGCTACTGAGGCTATCAGATCACTGTGCAGAAACTTAAGACACAGAAATACCTGAACTTGGGACTTGGTATGATTGTGGGAGTGGATCCATCTATCATTCCTCTCTCAGTGACAGTGAGGACACCACCAGGTTCCAGCAAAGCATTCAGGCGATCCAGCACGCATGGGCTGCAGAGAGGATCACAAGGAGACTCACTGACATGCTCCTCTACCGGCCAAGTCCTGGCCACATCTCCCTTCCTTATGGATCACTCCCCCAGAGAACTGTAATCTCATTCAGAAGCAGACTCCCCACTGATCCCCTCAACAACTCCCCAAGGAATACAGCTCAGACCTTTATAAATAGGAAATATAAAAAATATTTGTTGAATGAATAATAAAATTAAGGACAATAATAGTAAGCTTCTTCCACTATAACCCTTTCACTTTTCCCTTTCCCATTCCCCATCTTTCAACATCATCATATCCATCAAAGGATTTCAATTTGCACATTCAAAAAAAAATCCCACAAACAGCCATCTGGCCTGCAGCAGCTTCCACTATGCTAAAGGCACATGTGCAGAAGTTTGCACTTGTCCTTCTCCTTACTATAGAAACAAGTGATAACACAGTTGAATTCTTGTCATCAGTCATAGTTTTAAAAAAGGTCTGCCCTGTGCCAGATTCTACATTTCAAAAATCTGCCCTTAACAATGGCCCTAACAGGGAGGCGCCTGTGGCTCAAAGGAGTAGGGCGCCAGTTCCATATACCAGAGGTGGTGGGTTCAAACCCAGCCCCGGTCAAAAACTGCAAAACAAAGAATGGCCTTAACAAGCTGGGCATGGTGCACATGCCACTTGGCTGAGGAAGGAGGACTGCATGATTCCTGGAACTCACGCTGCAGTGAGCTATGATCAGGATACTGCACTCCAGCCTGGGCAACAGAGCAAAATACCCTTCCTAAAAAAATTAAAAGTTAAAATAAGAAGCCCAAACAAAAGGAAAACTGATATTCAGGGAATAGAAAAGTAATCCAATTTTGTTAACTTTCATTCAGTTTGGCTGTAAATTATCAGAGAACTGAAATCCTGCAGATGTCTAATGATGGACCACCACTGTTGCCTTAGGCTGAGGATGTGTACCCAGTGAAAGAAAAAGAGTGGATTAAAAATACCAGAGCTGACACCTGGTATAAGTTCAAGTAGGTCTATTCACAATGAGGCTTGAGGTTCTTACTTGCAGAAGTTAACATTGTCCATCAGAAGCCACTCTCCAGACTTCAGGGCCTGAACCAGCATACTGTCAACCCACTCAAACGTGCCATGGTTATGGCCACTGGCTGACTGTGTAAGTTTGACTCCAAAGCTTCGGAACTCTTCCACAAGTTTGGCAAACTCTAAAATATCATAAGTAAGAATCATCATCCACAGCACTTAATTCCAAATCAAGAGCTAAGAGTTTATGTGAAAAGGAAGTTGAGGCCCGGCGCCTGTGGCTCAAGCAGCTAAGGCGCCAGCCACATACACCTAAGGTGGTGGGTTCGAATCCAGCCCGGGCCCGCCAAACAACAATGATGGCTGCAACCAAAAAATAGCCAGGCATTGTGGCGGGGGCCTGTGGTCCCAGCTACTTGGGAGGCTGAGGCAGGAGACTCGCTTGAGCCCAGGAGGTGGAGATTGCTGTGAGATGTGATGCCACAGTACTCTACCCAGGGGAATAGCTTGAGGCTCTGTCTCAAAAAAAAAAAAAAGAAAGAAAAAAGAAAAAGTTGAAACTTCTAGTCCAATATGATTTTAAGGTTTCATAATAGAATAAAATGGAAGGTTTTTTTTTTTTTTTTGCTACTGTTTAAATACACACACAGGAAAATTAGGTTAGGGATGGGAAATATGAGGGGTTTTTTGTTTTGTTTTTTTGCAGTTCTTTTGGCCGGGGCTGGGTTTGAACCCACCGCCTCTGGCATATGGGGATGGCTGGCACCTTACTCCTTTGAGCCACAAGCACCGCCCTTTTTTTTAAGGCAGAGTCTCACTATGTCACCCTGGGTTGAGTGGTTCATAGCTCACAGCAACCTCAAACTCCTAGGACTAAGCAATTCTCTTGCCTAAGCCTCCCAAGTAGCTGGGACTACAGGCACCCGCTCCAATGCCCGGCTACTTTCTGTTACAGCTGTCATTGTTGTTTAGCTGACCAGGGTGTGTGAGAACTGGCCACCCTTAGTGTATGTGGCCAGCGCCATAACTATTGTGCTACAGGCACCAAGCTGTGAAAATATGTCTTAACAGCATTCCAAATTAATGTCTTAATACTCAGAGTTGGCATAATTTTTCTGTATTACAATTTCTAAAGTGCAGGAGGAAGACCATGTCTCCACCTACCATGACATCTACACTATGGGGCAATGCTGTCAAGTCGGCAGGTGTAAAGGATGTCATTAAATTGGGCTTCCTTGAGAATGACTATAACATGTAGTTATAACAACTCATATTTATCTGCCAAGTTTATAATTTATACAGCCCCTTCCAGGAAAATTTTTTTAACTGATTTTTATAGGAAATTGTTCTATGGCGCTTTTGCATATCAAAATGTGATATACATCAGAGTCCTACTTCTAACTATGAGGAACTAACATGCAACTTGGCCTCCCACTGTTACCAACTAGAAAACTGGGCAAAATAGGCAGCGCCCGCAGCTCAGGGCTAGGGCGCCAGCCACACACACCAAGGTGCACAGTCTCGAACCAGGCCAGGGCCAGCTAAAACAACAGTGACAACTGCAACAAAAAAATAGCTGGGCACTATGGCGGGCACCTGTAGTACTAGCTACTTGGGAGGCTGACACAAGAGAATCTCTTGAGCCCAAGAATTTGAGGTTGCTGTGAACTGTGATGCCATAGCACTCTACCCAGGGGGACAGCTGGAGGCTCTATCTCAAAAAAAAAAAAGAACCTGGAGTCTTTGGCTAAATAAAGCTATCTGCTTATAAAAGTTTGAGCCCTCCAAACATGAGCAAAAAAACTTCTAAGAAAAGAAAATTACAGGGAAATATGAGATGAATAAATCCCAGAGTACCATCCCCCCTCCAGCGGGAAGAGTCCTCAATGAACACACAGGACGGTCAATGGAGATAAGTTTAAGAGTCACACTTCAAGAGTGGGGCTAGTTTATCCCTAGAGTGAAGGTTAGTCTACCCCTGACCTTAAAAAAAATAAAATAGGCTCGATGCCTATAGCTCAGTGGCTAGGGCACGAGCCACACTCACCAGAGCTGGCGGGTTCAAATCCAGCCTGAACCTGCCAAACAACAATGACAACTATAACCAAAAAAAGGCTGAGCACTGTGGTGGGGCCTGTACTTGAGGCAAGAGAATCACTTACACCCAAGAGTTTAAGGTTGCTGTGAGCTGTGACACTACAACACTCTACAGAGGGTGAAAGCTTGAGACTCTGTCTCCAAAAAAGAATAACCTAAAATATACAACCAAGACCTTGTGTCTGCTAAAAATAAAAAAAATTAACTGAGTGTGATGAAGATACTTGGGAGGCTGAGGCAGGAGAACTGTTTCAGCCTGTGAGTCTGAAATTGCAGTGACCTACAATGACATCATTGTACTACTGTAGCTGGGCCAACAGAGCAAGACAATTTCCAAAAAAAAAAGACCAAGAATAAAAAAGCTTTAAAAAAAATAGTGAAGGGCTCAGTGCCTGTGGCTCAAGTGGCTAAGGCGCTAGCCACATACACCTAAGGTGGCAGGTTTGAATTCAGCCCAGGCACCAAAACACCAATGATGGCTGCAACCAAAAAAAAAATAGCCGGGCATTGTGGCAGGTGCCTGTGGTCCCAGATAGTTGGGAGGCGGAGGCAGGAGACTCACTTGAGCCCAGGAGTTGGAGGTTGCTGTGAGCTGTGATGCCCCGGCACTCTACCCAATGGGATAGCTTGAAGCTCTGTCTCAAAAAAAAAAAAAAAAGAATAAAAAAGTTTCAGGTACTATTTTATCATTATTTAAGTTTTATACATGTTTTATCATTATAGCTAATTATATATAAAATGAAACATAAAGCTTGGCAACCAATTTCTTTTCTGTCTGAATTTTTAGGACCACCAGTTTTGATACTTTGTCTCAGCTTCATTTTACTTTCCAGGCCAAATATTTCCAAACTCTGACTGTAAATTACTGAAGTAATAAAAACTACAGCTAAGTACGGTACTTACACCTGTCATCCTGGCACTGTGGGAGACTGAGGCACAAGGAAAGCCTGAACTCAGGAGTTCAACATCAGCCTGGGTAACATACTGAGACCCCTAACTCTACAAAAAAATTCAAAATTTAGCTGGGCATGGTGGTGCAAACCTATAGACCCAGCAGGACTAGAACCATAACACTGCACTCCAGCCTGGGCAACAGAGCAGATTGTCTCAATCAATCTATCGTCTCTATCAATAGATAAAAATATGATCATTGTATTTGTAAATGTATTTCCTGTCAGTGTACACAATGTGGGCAATGGTAAGTGACAGACACACATCCAAGTATACATACCTGCCTTAGAGTAGGAGCTGATTTTGTTGTTGAGTCGCTGCATAAGCAATAAAAGTGCTTCCATCTTACTGACGATCTCCATGGTGACACCTTTACCCCCTTCTCCCAGACACTTGGGCTTGCATGTCAATAGGAAGTGGCTCCAGGCCCGCAGCACCACCTCTGCATCATCAGCATTAACAAGCAGGCTGTCCCTTACAAGGGTCCTCACCACACCCTCCACCTTCTCTAGCAGCTGCCTCCAAGGTCGTACAAGGTCAACCTGCAATTTCCAGAGCACATGAACTCATTGCAGCCTTGGCTAGGGTCAGAGAATACAATTAACTTAAGGTGACCAGACATCCTGCTTTTGGCAGGACAGTCCTGATTTTTAACAATTTATCCTGCGTCCCACGGCATTTTAAAAAAGTCCTGATTTTTGGAAAGAATGCACAACAAGCTAGGGAATGGCAGGTGAACGGGAAGGGAATATATGGTTTTCAGCTGCCATGTTGCTATTTTGCCAGGATAGGAATTTTATATTATGTTTGTTAATTTTAGAAAGTTAAACTTTAATGATAACAAATAATTGTTGAGAACTGATTATTGAGAACTGCTTATCAAAGCTCACATTGTTGATCAGTTGCTAGAATTCGACCACCATTGTTTGGACTTAATGAACAATGGCATTTTTTGGCATTGGCAACCACGAAAACATTTCGTAACTGCCTCAGACGATACACATCATATTGCAATGCTAGTGCTAGTTAAACAAGTGATGTCAACAAATCAGCTATTCAGATAATTTAGGTAAGTAATTTATTTATTTCATGAATTTAGCAGACAGTACTCATATTATTTATATTTTATAGTGGCAGCAAAAAGTCTAGTGCCAGCCTCGAAAGTGACACTTAGGACTTAGGAGGTATTGTTATTAAAAAAAATATATTGGGCTCGGCGCCTGTGGCTCAAC